AAGGCCTAGTGTCGTTTTTATGACATTTCCGATGAATACAAAATGCTTAATTAAACAGCCGTCGCGGCACACAAATTGCGATTTTCCTAGAAAATCCTGCCGGCTCTACCCAGTCTATCCCCCATCCACCCCCCGGCATGTGATGACACGCATAATTTATTCAATTTCCATGTCTCCATGTGTGTGTGTGTGCGTCCTGAGTTAAGGTTTTACGCGTCTCTAATGCTTAAATTACACATTCAGACACAGGCACACACGCACACACTTGGCGCAGTCATGTGCGACATTTGGTTCGCAGGACTTTTTGCCAACGTTTTGTTTCCCACTTGGGCAAATAATGATCCCCAGACGAGGGGTTTTTTTCTTCTGTCCTCTCCATTCTCGTTGCGTATTTACTGCAAAGATTATTTGCACTGCCGTCGTTCCCATTGTGCGATGCTGATGAAGGGGAATAATGGTGATCCAGAGGGGACTTTGGGTGGCATTATGGGGGCAAAAGGAGGCTGTGTCTCTGTGTGTGCGTCTCAGCATGCGGCCGCTTTGTATACAACAAATCACTTTGTTGGCGCAACACTTTAATGTCAGGGATTAGGCATTAAGGTGAGATTTCCAAGAGTGCCGCATTCAGGAGCGTAGCCAAAAGGGGGGCTTTTGTTCAGACTGTCAATTCAAATATATTTATTGTACCTTAAATCGAACATAAATCATTGAGGGATTAAACATTTGGTTTGCTTTTAAATCGATTTTCAAAAATATAGTGTAATGAATAGTTGTTTTTCAGACAGATTATAACGTTTATTAATATTTCTGATGTATATAATTTAAGCGATTTGATAATTTATGAACATAGATAGAATACGATAATATTTATCAATATTTTGATTTGACAATTTTTGTTCAACAAATCGGAGTTTATGAAGCTCATAACTCAGCCAAAAATGCGTTAATTTCTATTCGGAAAGCGTTGCTATGCAAGTTTTAGTTGGTTAATAAATCTGCATACTCAATTTAAAATGAAAAATTTGATACATTTTTGACAATTTGAACGATGTAACCCCTTTCCTTTTTTTGCAAAAATCAAAATTTTTGGAAAATTTTGTTTTTCTGACGGAGATAGCTAGATAGAATATATATGATTTATAGGGTCGGAAATGACTCCTTCACTTAATTACAAGCTTCTGACTGAAATAACAATTCAAAAAAATAATATCTTAATGTTTTTTACTATATAAATCTGCTTAAAATACCCCCCAGATTACGCACCTGTAACGCTTGCTGTTAAAAACCTTATGTTTTATATATATTTCAGTGCTCCATTTGCATTGTTAAAGTCATTTTGCTGCAGGCAAATGTGTCTATGTGTGTTTGCTTAAGTGCAAGGAAATGTGCGGAGAACGGAAGTTGGTTTTTGGTAATATCAACCTCATATGCCAACTGCTTACCCATATTTGCACTAAATACCTACGAAGTTATGCACACATGTGGTAGGCAGGGTATAGGGGAGGGTGGAGGTAATATTGAAAAACTATGTTGACACAGTTTTGGGAACATGTCAAGTGGGAAAGCTGAAAAGCTTTTACTCGGCAAAACTTAAACCAAAAGTGAATACTTGCCCCATATCAGAAGTGGAAGTGATTGCGCAATGAGTTCTCCATACAGACAGAGTCAGGTGAGTTGGCTGGGGGCTAAGAGACCTGAACGCAGTTGCTGCTAATTATAAATATTTGTACATCCAGACAAGTTTTCTCATTGCAATCAGGAGAGTAGAGCAAGTGTGGCTGGGTTTTTAATTCGCAATGCAGTGAGTTTAAGGTAATTGCTTTACATGCTTTCAGGTTGGAATTATGGGTTGAAGTTGAAATTCGACTCAAGTATCTTGTATCTTTTACAATTAAAATAAATCCCCTTAACCGTATTTCTGCAGCAATTATATTAGCTTTATTTGTGTGTGTGCATTTTCCTTACACAAAAAGCTTCTTTAAAGACCAATTTAAATGGCATTAAATTTATGTATTTTTCCCCCTTTGAATGCCATGAAATGGATTATAAAATGTGAATAGAACGTTTCCTGATGCTTCATTGAGTCTCGATTGCTTTAAATGACGGCATATTTGTGCAGACTCAGCGTGAAATATTTGCGATGGATAGACAGCAATCCATTTGCCATTTTCCGCTGTGAAATGATCAAAATCAGTGTGTAATATTTTTGCGCTTTTTTGCATTCCCAAAAATGTTAAACAATTTAGCCGAATTGAGGGGGGTGGCCTTCCGGTTTTCCGGGTATTTTTTCTTTTTGGCAGGGGTGTTCATGGGCGTGTGTCGCCCATCAACTGCAAATTGCTCACGCAAATTGTCTGCCGCCGCCTCATGCCACCGTTGTGCGTTGTCTATTTCGCGCCTGTAAATCGTAAATCAGCGCAGATTATTGCTGCTAGCCCCAGCCCCGGATATCCAACAGCTCACAACCATTTACATTTGTATCTTTTGCCTTTGCTGTCTGCGTTTTTCAATTTGGAGCAGCTTAAAGCGGCCGCCGTCTTGCAGCTTTATCAAAGGCCGTTCTTCTTCATAAATATGCAAATTGTCTGGTGCCTTTCTCTGGCGTTTTGCTTCCGCCACAGCCATTGGGCCCTTACTGCCATTTTCCAGTCCTAAATCGGATTTACTTTCACTGGCTTTAAGTTTCAGTTGCCTGTCTGCGTGCTATCTGTCTGTCTGTGTGTGCGTGTGTGTTGGGGATGGAGGGGGTCCTTTGTAGTCACGAAAATATTTGATTATTCGCTGCCGCACATGGATGGGTCTACCCCATTTTCCAGGGGTTCCAATGCCGCCCGCCTCCCCCTGGGTTGCAGCTAACGACTTTGATTGCCACGAGACGAGGCACGTGATTGCAAGTGCCCGAGTTGGTCGCCAACAATGGCATCCCTGGCTTTGTTCTGCCAAAACCCAGTGAACCCAAGGCAAGCCCTGTCTGTAAACCTGGCCCATCTGGCACCGCATGTCTCGAGTGCTGCGGTTGCCACCCGCATCACTCATACGCACTGTGGTTGCGGATTGCGTGATCTTATGAAAGCACTCTGCAGATTCATGGTTGGTTATGCTAGGGTTACAGGATATTATTTAATAATTACTATAATCAGAGGAATGCTTTAATTTAATTTCAACTTGAACAATTTAATCGCGTAGCCGCTTCAGCAGCTAATTAAATAAATAAAAATTGTGCTGCCAGTGGAAATAAATTCAGACATGGCCGAGGGGGAGTCATGATTGAAAGTCAAAATAAATTGAGTTGACTGTGTTTTTGCTGTGATGTGATATCAGGTTACGATGCCAGGGTGTCTGTGCTTCTTAACCGCACAAGAGGCACTCACAACACCCGGGCATCCTTAATTGGGGCGACCTCTCTGGAGCATCCCCTTTCCTCCTAAAAGGAAAACCCTTGAAGGTTGAGGGTGCGTGTGCTATCTGACTTGAACTGGCGGCACTTTTGCTGCCATCTAATTAGATGTTGTGGTTGCATTAATTGCCAGGAGCTTGGACTTTATGACTTTACCGGGGTACAGGTAAAGATACTTGGCAAAGTTTTATTGCCGTGCCAGATAAAAGGCGAATTAGCGTTCACCTAATTTGGCGCTTGACATTTTCCCCAAACATAAACATACTCTCTTTGTGTATATATAAAATATATATTTATGTGTATTGAGTGTATATATACCGATTTTCTCTATGCTTTTGGCCCGCTTGTGTGCGCAATATACTCGTAAATAAATAAATGGCCCACAGGAATTTCATAATACTTTGGCGAGCAGCTTTGCATGCATAATTCAAAGTATGAATTTCATGTGCCGTCCCCTGAACAAAGCAAAAATCAATCAAATTAAATTGAAAATGAAAATGAAAATCATAAAGATGTCTGCTCTCGATTCCCCCAACTGAATTGCGCAACAGCGAGTATTGAAGATTGAGCAAGATTTCTGCTGGCCACATTTCCCATAGTTTTCTCAATCGATTCCAATACAGAGCTCACAATTTGCCATTTTAATTATCGCTAGGTACAGAGAGAGAGGCCAGAGCATAAAGTTTTGAATGCCTGCCGGCATTCTGGGAGTTTCTGTTTTTGTTTCCATTAGCATTCGCAAGTTTGTGTTAGCTTTGTTCGGGTCTGAACCCCTGACCTCTGTCCTCCCAGGAGCCTTGGATTTTTGGCCAAAATTTGCATTCTGCCCTCTGCATTTAGGCCTGAATTTATCGAATTGTGCAATTGACTTGCGTGCCGGCCACAATTGTTCCAGCCATCATTAGTTTCGAGTAATATTTGATAGTGTTGTGGTTGCAAATTGTTTTATTTGGCAAATCGAATCTAAAAGCGACCAACTTGACACAGACAGTAACCAGTCGACCATAAAATGTCAGCTGTTAAATAAATTATCGGTCCACTAATTAATTTCAATTCCATTAACAGCACTCAAAAGGATTTCGATTTGAGTAATTTTAATTTATATTTTAATTGTGTGGCTGCGAATCGTTTGTTCAAGTGCCAATAGCATTTGTTTTCCACTTTACAAATTACTTTTTTGATTAACTTGGCTAATACAGACGGCGGCATTGTCGTTACTGCCATTTGTGTTTATTTTTGAAGAGATGTTGTGAAAGTAGAGAGAAATATGTAAGTGGAAAACTTTTTCAATTTTCATCTCGGCTTGCTCATAATTATGAGTTCTTAACTACAAATCAGGCTCTGGCAAAGGCAACCAACGAAAAATTGTCCAGCAATTAAAGCGGGAAATTAAAAACTGAACACCGGCTGCTGCCAGATGAGCAGCGGCGACGGAATGTGAATGAATTAGCTCGATTTGCATGAAAATTTCATAAATATGTAAGCCGGACGACAGTGGGCACAGTGGTGGCTATATAAAATCGAGGACCGGGCATAAAAAGCGGGCGAAAAGCAAACAAAATTGCACAGCCCCCAAGGTACGAGTAATCAAAGCAAAAATTACCTAATTAACATAATCCGCAGTGGCCAAATGAGGCGGCTCCTGCTCCTGCTCCAGCTCCTGCGCCTGCTCCTGTTCTGTTCTGGGTTTTCCTTCTTCTTTTTTTGTTTTTGTGGCGTAGGTAGGATGAGCGTTGGGTGGGCGTGGCCAGCTGGGAGCAATGTCGTCTGGCTTGGCCGTTGATTAGCACTGCTGCCTTTTGCTCTACACTCGCAAAGTTGGGACCGGTCTTTCGTCTGTCTGCGTAAATCCTCGGTGATAAGTTGTCTAGGACCTGATCCTATTCACGTTTCCCTCCGCCTGATTAATATGCAGAGACGTTTAAATTTCGCTTTTTGCTCGGCTTCGCTTTCTTTTCGCTTTTGGGTTTTGTTTATGGTTAATTCACTTCGCCTGCTGTTTGCTTTAAGGTTTATTTTTCATCCAAAGAACACTGGATGCACTGCAAATGGATTTTTCACCGTGAGCTTAACGAGCTGGGTTTTACCTGGTTTTTGGCAGGCGAGCGGAAATGAGCAGATTCTTGCACACTCACACATTATGCACACTCCAATACACCCGCAAACACACACCCAGACACACACACCCACACACACACACACACCTAGGTACAGGCACACACGCATGCATAGAGCTGGCGGAAATGCGGGAGTTCGCAAAATACTATTTCCGGGAGGGGGCGGCGGAAACTGTAGGGCTCTGAGGCAAAAACCAACAGTGTGAGGGCATAAAATTATGCAATAAATAATTTCATTCGGCATGAAATAATAATAATAATAATAATAATAATGACAGTTATTTCTTTGTAAACAAACGTAAAAGCTTGTACATTTATTTTGTAATGAGACTGAGGTTTCAGAGAAAGTATAAAAGAATCCTAAATATGATTGTATCTCTATTTATTTAAAATATAAAGTTTATAAGCTCAATCGAAGTTAAGATACCTATTAACTTTATATCTTATAGTCTAATTTATTGAGTTCAATTCAAAGGACCCTAGAGTATGCCCATAAAGCTTAAAGAAATCCGAAAAGTAAATTCCAAAGAATAGTAAATAAAATATGATTACACCAAAATAAGAAGGCTGAAACTAAGCTGGTAGGAAGAAAGATCCCAGAATGCTCCTATCCCAATCCCAGTTTCGACGCCTTGCTGTCTGCCAAAAACACAACAAAAAATAAAACTTTGACGTTTCGCCTTCTGCCACCGGAAGTTGGCTTACAACCCACATCCAAGCACACACACACACACCACACACACACACAATTAAGATCTGCTTGATCTGCGCTACCTGGTCTCTTTTGTTTTATGTTTAAATCGCACAATTTTGCAGTATTATATCTGGAGGCAGATAGTTAGTCGCTTGTTTTTGTGGCCTCTTCACTCGGCACTTGGCACTTGGGGTTTTTGGCTCGGTACGATAATGTCACGAGTCGCGTGTCCTCGCCTCGATGGATTCAGCACTAGACTGAGCTACTCTTTCGACCGGGACATGCTTTTAAGCCAACTTGAGCATTTCGAAATTCGAAATAAAGGAGGTGCGCATGCGCGGACTCTCTTTTTGGCCAACAATTGTCGCTCTTTTTCGGGATTTGCTCTTTGCGTAGCATTGCTGAGTCCTGGCTGCGCTTTGTTATTATTTTGTTTATGTCCCTGCCAGCAGGCCGTCTGCGGGTGTGTGCGTGTGTGTGTGTGTCATCACCTGTTAGCATTCGGGAGTCCTTGAAATCCGGCTCAAGCTCAAACTTACACAACCTGAGCCACCGAAATCCAACCGCCCGCACACCCTGCCCAGTTGGCTGCTGCTGTCGTTGACAGTGTCTTTGCCATTATGTAATAATCACAAGGACACACACGCACACGTGTTAGACTTCCAATTAATTGCTACCCAAAAGTATAAGGATATCCTACCCTGTGGGGACGGGGGGTCCGTAGTAGTGCATGGCAGGACATTGTCTGCTGCTGACCACAGGCCAAACACCAAGCACGTTTCCCCTTTTTTGCATGCTACCACCAGCAGCCAGGATGTCCACAGACACATTTTGGCATGAAGGTCAGTCGAGGAGGCAGGTGAGCTGACATGGAGCTGGCCTAGGTGGGGGTGTGGTGGCTCAGGTGTACTCCTGGTCCTTTTCAGGCGGGGATGACGCGCAAAAGTCATTATGTGTGGCCACTGGCCAGTAAAGTGTGATGCGCAGCCAAAGCTAAACATTATATTTTCGATAAATATGTGAACTATTGGGGTACCTCTTAAAATTATAGATTGATGGACTTGTACTACTTATTGATTTTAAAAATAGTACTCTAATGAAAGTACTAGAATTTGAAAGGTTAGTTACCATGATAGTTTTATAATTTATAGAAGTAACTTATGAGGAAACCCTGATAAAAATCAATAATCAAAAACCCTACTAGACTTGACTTCTTCTTTTCCAATTCACCCTGTTTATTTTGGCATAAAACCAGACACATTTCTTTAAAGACTCTTCGGTGTGAGTTCCGGAGTGCCATCATGACTTCCAGACTCTCATTCTGTTCCTGACTACCCATGAAGTTACATCAGCAACGCCGTAACGAGGTTCATGTTTAATGGCCGTGCAGTCGCAGCCTTTCGGGTAGAGGTGTTGTTGTTCAGGAGCCAGAGGAGCCAGGAACAGGACACGAACTGGGGCTATATCCACAGTCCTGTACAGGGGTGTTGGTGAGGGGGGCCAACAAATGCAGCTACAAAGGCAGCCCAAAAGACATGCACTAATATCATGCTGTCCGTGTTGCATGCAACACCATCTCCCCTCTCACCATCTCCCCTCTTACAGCTTGAACCTGACACAGAAAATTGTATTTTAATGACGGAGCATAGCGTCACTGCCAACGACAAGGACATCGCAACGCAATGCAACCGGAGGATACCCCATTCAAGACGTTAATAAAGCGACGCACACGCAGCAAATTCCATGGTGCGGCCCACAAAGGACACTGTGGGGTGCGAAGGTGGTGGCACTTGCACTTCCAAAATGAAGTTGTTAGTGGCCCGAAAGTCCAGCTCCGGTCGGCAGACATTTTTTGGGGACAGGACAGGTAGCCTGCAGCAGGTGCAACATACCAGCAGCCTTTTGGCCAAAATCCCCGGGTCGTGTGGCACGCATGCATATTCCATTCCAATTGCAGTGTTTCACAGGGGATCCTGGAAAGTGTCCACTCGACTAGCTTTGCATTTTATCAGGACTCTCGCACACAGCGTGGTGTACTCTACTTGTTGTAGTTGTAACATAAGTACACTTGTTTATGCAATGCAGCAGTCATAATTATTGTTAATGGCCATTTGTGTGGTTGTAAGTCCCGGCAGAGAGAGTCCTCATCTATCTCTATACATGCAACTCGTGCAGAATTGATCGAATCGTTGTAGATGCATTTAAAAATGCAAGGAGAGCTTTACATTTTGATTTAAATTCGAGTATTATTGGTCTTTTATGTTTATATTAATTTTTTTTTTGCATACATAAACCATTTCCTTTTCAGTTTGAGTTGATTGTTTTCCTCCTTTTGTTTATGTTTGTAGCATGTTATTTCAGTGAAATTCAATCAGCATTACTGGCATTCTGATTATAGATGATATTTAATAAGTATTTTTTCTGATTTCAGTCGAGCCCCAAGAGAAAGAGGACGAAACTGTTAACGAGCAGGACAAGGACGAGAACGAGGACGAAGACTTGGATAACGAGGAGTTTGGCGAGCAGGGTAAGCAGAGCACAGCACTCAACGCATAAATCTGTGATAAATATGAAAATAATTTGAGGAAATTTCAACTAATAAATGGCATTTGCCTGTTTCTGTCCAATCCCTCCCTCCCACACACACACAGATAATGGACTCACCGAGAAAACGTTCAAATTTGATGATTTCGCTCGCAGGTAAATAGGCCTAGACTAAGGACTAAGGACCAAGGACCCCACAGAGCATAAAGTTTTCGAATCAAGGCCAAACCGCTTGGACACTTTTCCATTTTGGGAAACAACAAATGGTCGAGGATGGGGGATGGGCGATGCTTAAATTTTACTGCCCTTATTTGAAAAGTTATCATGGTCGCTCGCTCGGTTGAACGGCGGTTTCGGGCTGATGGTCGTGTTGAAAATTGTAATTGTGTTTTTAATTGAAAGGCGGTCCAGAGTCAGTGCTCGTGGCTACTAATTAAGGATTAGTGTCAGAAATTACTTGTGCCAAAAGTTTTATGGCCGCGAACTCGAACTCGAAACCGGCGCGCACACAGATGCCGCGGGCAGCTTAGGACGAATAACAGCAACATCAGTCGCACAGCAGCAGCAGCAACATCAGCAGCAGCAGCAACAGCAACATCAGCAACACTCATCCCGACCCGCTACAACAATTATAATAAAATGACGTCAAGTTGGTTTGCCGGTTGTATTTTAATTGCGCTGCCGTTGCCATTGTTGTTGCTGCTACTGTTGTTTCTAAATGTTCCCAAAACTTTAGCACCGAGTGTAGAACATTTGCGGTTGCGGTGTCTGTGCCTGTGCTCTCGATGCTGTTTCTCGGGGGTGGCTGCCTGGATAAACTCTTAAATCATAATTAGTTAAATTTAGCATAATTCAATTGGAGTTCTGCTTTATAATACCCCATCGTTCCCTCAGGTTGCTGAATCCGAAAATCGTTCGCGCCTGTACATTAGTGCTGACGGACTGGGCAGATATACCCACGCGATCCTTGAAGGCGGCCGTAACTATATTACATCGCATCGCCTATGGCTGTAAATGTCCGGGAATGCTTTACCAGGTGAGAAAGTTAACCCAATTAAACAATCGGAATAACTTTATATTATCCAGAAAAGGAATTCTGGAGGGAAGTTGGGAAAAATGTATTCTTTAGCTTGAGCATTTGTGACTTTTCTTAGGTTAAGTTGGAAAACAAGGACAGTCCCTTAGTGTATTTGTTAATACAATATTTTCAAATATATTTAATTTCATTAATAATAATTCATTTGAAGCTTAAATTTAAAGAAAAATGCTCACCCCTCACCTGTGAAATGCATTTGTTGAACCCGCAACGGGGGCTTTTTAAATATTTTTTTAAAAGGACCTGCACATAAATCAAAGTCAAATGCAAAAACAAATGCCACAGCTTAGCTGGCATTCCTTTTCTGTAATTTTTTTGTTATATTTTTGTGCCTTGCTCTTTCTTCCACTGTCGCTGCTTTCATTTCATTTTTATGGTAATTTGTACAAATTAAGCGGACCTTTTTTCTATTTGTCCAAAGCCACAAACGATATTTACTGCGGCGCGGTGGCGTACATATATATATTTTTTTTTTAAAGCGGGTTCGTTGGGTTTTCGGAGGACTCCCTTCAGGTCCCTGGGTCCTGTCAGCTGGAATTTGAACTTTTAAGCCTTTCACGCGCTGCCTTGTGCCGCAGCATCGGTTGGGGCTGCGACTCAAATATTCAAATGTCTGTGTTTGAGTTTGTTCAGTCCCCTCTGGGGAAGAGTCTAACGCGATTGTCTTGGAGTTGGTCCTCAAAGGTATTTCCCAGATTTAAATTGAGGCTTTTAAGCTAAATTTAAAGTGACATTTGGTTATATTTCTGGTGAATTATATTATTTTTAGCTTAGAAGATGTATATTTTTAAATCAATGTGAGTCATAAGAACTTTAACTCTATAGATCAATATTTTGCTCTACGTTATGTTAAGTATATATTTTTGTAATTGTTGTATTGTAAAATTTATAATTTAATGCTTTTAATTTCATAAATCTCTTTCTGTAGGGCATTAAATATTGTACCTTTCCCGGGAGAGGTTCCACTGCCTTCCGGATTTCTTTTCAACTGCTTATGCTGCTTTTCACGGCTGGCAATTAAACTTTTCTTTTCGGGCAGAGTTCATAAATCACATTCAGGAGCAGGCTGCTGTGCGGCCTTCGCGTTTACCGCTCCACCCTCCCAACCCAAAAGGCTTTTCCATTTCCATTGGCTTTAAGCGATGCTTTAAGCTCTTTTTAGGTTTTTCGCCAGCCGAATCGCAATCGCATGCAGAAAGCACTGCAGAGTCTCTGGCGAATGGCTAATCACTGAAGCAACCAAAAACGGCATCGCATTTTGGGGGGAACAAAGCCGATGCCTAGCGTCTCCTGTGTTTCCCCGCTTCTGGCCAGGCTCTGGCGGGGCAGAGACTGCTCCCTATCAGCGTCATCTAAGCCGGCTCAGTGTCTGCTGTGCACAAGCGACGATTAAAAGGACGACAATGACGATGACGAGAATGAGAAACAGGACACTGATAGAAAAGAATATCTAAAAAATATGCGGAAAACATTTATCAAGTCAAGAGTAAACACTTAAGTGCGTTTATTGTGAGCAGTAACCTCTTAATATTATAGAGCGTTACCCTTTAGTTTATATTGATCTTTTATTTAACCAATATATTATAGTTTTACAAA